TTTTTTTTTTTTTTTTTTTTTTTTGAATGAGAACAAAGCTCCAATCTATTCATGGGGAGCTACACATGCTGGGAACCGGGCCCAGCGCCCCATATAGAAAATTACATAGGATTTTGAAAAATTTTGAGAATTTGCAGTACCGGGGCCACTACCCGACTTGGGCCAAGATCTAGATTAAGAGATACAAACAAGCTACTGAAAATAGGCAAAAATTCAGGAACAGACTCAGACCCCCCTCCATCCTCATTACCTCACTCCAGCAAGTCTTACTGCAGCAGAGCCACCATCTCTGTTGCTGCTGACAGTGTACCCTATTACCATCCTACCCGCTAGCCCCCTCACTAGTAGGACGCTTGATATCCAACCTTCTTCTCCCACTCACCTAGGCAAAGTTTCAGGAAACGTCTTGAAGACCCCCATGCATCCTCTTGACCTCACTCCGGCAAGACTTACTGCAGCAGAGCCACCATCTCTGCTGTTGCTATACCCTATTTCCATCCTACCAGCTAGCCCCTTCACTGGTAGGATGCTTGATATCCCGCCATCTACTTCCAACACCAACCAGCGTCGTTCTGACCGGAGATTTACGAGTATAACAGCATCTGGAGACCACCGGAAGCAACTGGAAGACAATTTTGAAGGTTTGGGGTACCGGGGCCATTACTCGGCTTTGGCGAAGAAAAATTAGAGCTAGATTAAGAATTATGAATCTTATTTCCTAAATTCATCATGTTTTCTTTTTTCCACTATTCATTTCTGATTCCCCTGTGGGCGCACTAACGAATTATTTTTGCGTGGGTGGGGGGTTGGGGTTGTAAGGAGGAGAGCTCTACTCTGCAGGGGCTTCACAAGGTGGGGGTCGAAATGCCCTGGAGGGAGTGAGGGCAGATTTTTTGGGGATGCCCTATTCTGGGTTGGGAGAGATGTATGGGTTGGCATCATATCCCAGCAGAGGCAGATAGGGGTGACGGGTTGGCTGAGGCATACTTTGGGTGGAACTGGATGCCTTAGTGGAAGTTGGGGGAGGAAGCAGGTATGTCCCAAGTTGGGGCCGATAAGGAGAGCTTGTGATCAGGGCAGTCCTTTTCGGTGGAGGCAGCGGAGGGACAGGCGGAGATGGAGGGGAGGGGGGGGAAATAATCTACAAAAACGTCCTGAATTCTGATTCCCCTCTTAATCATAAACAAACTATTTCTGGTGGGGTGGTGGGTTGGTTATGAGGGGGAGAGCTCTACTCTGCAAGGGCTTCACACGGAGAGAGGTGTGTGCCCTGAAAGGAGACGGGGCAGATTTTGGGCGATGCTCTATTCTGGGGCTGGGGGAGATGTATGGGTCGGCATCATATCCCAGTGGTGGCAGAGAAGGGCAACGGGTCAGCAGAGGCATACTTTGGGTGGGAACTGGATGCCTTTGTGGGAGTAGGGGGGGAAACGGGTCTGTCCCAAGTTGGGGCCGATGAGGAGTGTTCATGATCAGCGGCGGTCCTCTTTTGGTGGAGGCAGCGGTGGGGCAGGGGGACGAGGGGGACAGGGGGGAACTTCTATATCCCTTTTTGTATTTGGTTGGGAATTTTCCTGATTCTTTCTGGAGTTTTCGAAACAAGCACCCTTGTTATTCCTGGTAGTTTGAAGAATCTCTCGGGACTCTGAGGGTCTGCTGGTGGTTTGTACGAACCTGCACTGGAATTAGACTGTTATATTCAGGATCCATGGCTGTTCAATGCCAAAACGACGCTGGCCGGAGACGGGGCGATGCCCTGTAACTTGCCGAAGGTGAGGGCATGAGGCCTTGTAGAGAGATCTGGGGATGTTATGTGGGGGCATCCTAAGGGACAACTGGGGGTTGCTGACACGGGACGACACTGGCCGGAGCTGGAGTGAGTCGCGTTGCTCTATAACGTAGCAGATAGGGGGCGTGAGGCCTGGATGAGTTTGTCAGAGAATAAGCCAGTTTTAGTGAGCTTTGTTATGATCTGTTGGAAATCCCTTAGATACTCAAGTGTTCTGAAAATCGCGGTGGATTTCAGGAGGTGTTTAGCGATTATAAAAAAGTATTTGTAGTTTTTTTTTTT